GCTCCACGCCCAGCACCGCGGGCCCCGAGACCTCCTTCCCGCCGCGCTGGTCCCGGCTGATGGCTGCGTTCAGCTCCCGCTGCAGGTCGTCCAGGTGCTCAGGCCCAAAACCTGAGGGGGGGGCTGTCAGGGCCGCGGGTTGGGCCAGGAAGGGGCTTCTGCACTGCGCCACTCACCAGGGGGGGCCGGGGTGTAGAAGTAGGGTGCAAAGCCGTGGATGTGACAGCACACGGACACGCCCTCGTCTGTGACCCCGAAGGCTCGGAGCACAGGCACGGAGCTGCAGGGCGATGGCGGCGCCCCCGGCAGGGGCCGAGCTGCACCTGGGGAGCAGGGGCCAGTCAGGGCTGCCGCCCGAACGCGGCGGCCCTCACTGCTGCCCTTTCTCCCGCCTCTGCTTCTCTAAGGGCAGCCCTGAGAGCAGCGACCTGGCCTGCCTGGCTCAGCTCAGACGGTTGTTCCTGACTGGCCAGATGGATGACGGACAAGACCCAACTCTGCCCGCTCAGCACGAAGACAGCTCCTCTTGCCTGCAGCTCGTAGTTGGAAGATGTTCCCCTCCTCCAGGAAGTCCTCCAGGACTGCCCCAGCAGGGGAGATTCCTTGTCTCTCCCTCTCCTAGCCCTGGTCACCTGTGTCCATCCCCTCCCCACAGCCTCTGCCCCCACTCACCCACATAATGGTCAATCTCCAACTGCTGGAAGATGAGGGGTTCTGTCAGGGGGTCCAGGGCAGGAGGGGAAGGTCGAAGCCAGCGGGGATCGACGGCTGTCGGGGAGAACAGCCCTGTGGGAGAAGGGAAGTGGGGCGGCATGGAGTCACAGCCCCCGCTGCAGACCCAGGTGGCATCTGGCCTGCAGGGGAAAGGCAAGTGGAGGCGTTGGCCTGGCTCACGGAGGAACCTCAGGAGAAACGGGGTCAGTGTCAGAATAGACGCTACAGACCACAGACCTCAGGTCAGCCTTGGAGCTCGAAGTGGGGGTGACACAGGCAGGAGGGAGCGGGGGTTCGGGCCCTGCTCACCCTCGGCAGCCCCCTCGGGGGCAGGCTGCAGCTCCTCCTCCTCCTGCTCCTGCAGCCTGCGCTCAGCCTCCAGCTCCTCCATCAAGGCCAGCTCCTCCTCCAGCTGCGACGGCCGGGGAGCATCATCGTCATCGCAGAGGGCCCCACGGGCCCGCTTCGGGGGCACCCCGGGCCCTGGGCCTGGCTGCCGCTTGCCATCCATCCTGCGGTGAGTAGAGGTTGGAGGGCGCTGGGCGAGGAGGCCTCCCGGGCGCCCACCGTGGCACGCTCACAGCTCTGCACCCCGAGGCTTCCAGGCCGCGCCCCGCCCCCCCCCCCCCCGCCGCTTTCTTCCTGCCCGCTGCTGCCCGTCTGCCCAAGTCTTTGCCGCCCTCGGCCAGAGGTGCCCTGCAGTCCAGTCACTGCTGGGTCCCAGACCGGGTACAGACCAGACCCTGCTGGCTCACCACGCCAGTGGCTTTCCCTGGCACTTAAAGCCAGACGCAGCCCCCAACCACACTCTGAAAGGCTTTACAGCCCCAGGGCTCCTGCTTGCCCCTGCGCCCTAGCCACGGGCACAGTGCCAGCTGGCCACCTCACCCCCCCCAGAGCTGCATCCATGGTAGTGACCTTCCCCAAGCGCTGCTGAGGGAGTGCACACACCACACCCCGCCCCTGCATGCCTCAGCGGGGGGAGTCCACGCTGGGGAGAGAGCATGGGGATCCCTTTTGGGGTGATGAGAATGTTCTGGAACTAGAGGTGTTAGCTGCTTGACACAGTGAATGTACCACATGCCCCTGAACGGTACACTTTAAAATAGCAGTTTCTCCTCAGTTTTTAAAAAACTGAGCACATATAGTATGATGCCAGCTATGCCATATTCTAGAACATACTACACTGATGTAGTGCTAGAAACTGGGCCAGTGGCTGCTTCCGGGGTGGGAGACTCTAGCACAGGAGAGGGCAAGAGTGACTTTCTGGGCCGATGGAAATGGACCGCGCACACCTGTCCACTTCACAGACCGGCACATTTCAACGAGGTGTGAGTTACTGTGCGATTGAAAAAGTGGGGAGGGCACGAGTCCACTGCCAGGGGTTCCTGCTGCAGAGACACCCTCACATCAGAAAACTGCCCTCCTGAGGTTATTTCCGGCACCATTGTTTGTGATCACAAAAGACTGGAAACCACCTAAATGTCCCCCCAGGGGACGGTTTCAGTAGATGACAGTAATTCCTATGGAATATTATGCAGCTGTATAAAGGAATGAGGAAGCTACATACTGATAGGGCAGGCTCTCAAAGATGCATTGTTCATGCGGGCGGGGAGATGCTGACAGGGCTACCTTTTGTATCTTAGAGATAAAAGGTGTATAAGAAGTCTCATGTATTCTCTTCCTTGGGTGTCCAAAACTGCCCCTTCAGGAAGCTTCCAAAAGGTCAATGCCATGAGGGCGGGGGCGGGGGCGGGAGAAAGCCAGGAACCTGTTTTAAAGTACAGACTACAGGGTTAAGGTGAGGAGATGATGCTGGGGGGACTCCAGATCCAGTCCTGAATTCAGTGACAATCTCCATGCAGGGCATTCTCAGGATGCCTGGAGTCAGGACAGCCCACGAGGGAGCAGCACTGTGTCCGGGTCAGTAACTTGTGAGCATTAAACGGTGGTGGCATGGTGGCCTGCCTGTTCTTGGAGCTCTTATAAAATGCTGGCACTTTAGAGGTACCGGCTCAGGGGTACTCTGACCTTGACAGAGCGCAGGCCCCCAAGAAAGATACCCAAGTATGTGTATTGCTGAGGCAGTGTGAGAAAAAAGCAGCGAAGCCAGGCAACAGGTGCGCCAAGCGAGTCCGCTGTTCCCATCCTGCAACTGCTCTGAAAGTGTGAAACTTTCAAAACAAAAAGCCGGGACCCTGGGAATACACAAAATGAAAATAACACTAGCTGCCCCCTTTCTCGGCCCCTCCCCGAGAAACACTGAACAGTGACTTCGGTGGAAGCATAAACATTGGGGCCCACTGGGACCGGTGCTGCTTTCTCTGGGACCTTTGCTGTGGCCCAACTTGTGGCTTTAAACGCTGCCTCTGCCTGTGTTTCTCCGCAGAAGTCAGGGTGACACAGCGAGCTGCCCATAGGGAGGTCGTCCACCAGCCAGCTCGGACCCCAAGGCTGGGCCTGATGCCTGCCAAACCTGCTCCTGGCACCCCTCTCTCCAGTTTGGTACATGGCAAGCTAACAACCTAGGGCCCCCCCAGTGCAGTCTCTCCCAGGTCACCTGCTTGGTGGCAAGCCCCATTAGGCGCTGGCTTCCAACAGGCCTGGGTCCTGGGCTCCGCCCACCCTGAGCCCCAAATCTAAGACCTTGGCCCCTTCAGTTGGGACACTGCTGTGGTCTCCCCCTGCTGGACAGGAGATAAGTGCACCGGCATAGGACTGTTGGGGTGCTGAAGTAGACCAGTATCCAGCACATAGAAAAACCTGTGGAATGACTGAATGGGCCCCCCCACCAAAGGCGGGGAGGGAGGGGCGGGCGGATGTCCCGGGCCCGGGGCCTTCTAACTTGTTGGGGACGTGGCACCCGCTTCTAGAACAGTGCTGGGCAGGGAGTACCCAACATTAGTGAATACCGATGGCACGGAGCCTCCACGTGCACCATCCAGTGCCCCGGGATCCCGGGGTCCCAAAAGCTCTCCAGGGTGAAGTACCCGCCAACTGCTGCAACCCCAGTGGCGCCTAGCGCCTGCGCCCCCAGCACGCCAAGGGACCCCCCCCACCGATCATCCCCCGCCGCGCGCCCCTGCGCACGCGCCCCCGCGGCCACTGGCCCTAGTCCTCTTCCGCGGGCCGCGGGGCACCCTGCCGCTGCCACTCCGGGAGCGATCGCCCAGGACCCTCTTTCAGGCTGCGTGCCCGGCTCTTCCGGCCTCCCCTCCCCGCCCGGCCTGGTCCGTGAAACTCTAATCACCCTGCGCTCACCTGCTTCAAACAGCGTTTCCCGCCACAGCCTACGCCACCGTGACCCCTGACTGCAGCACGCGCAGGCCCAGAGTCGCGGCGCGCAAGCCGGGCCACGCCCCCGGCCGAGTAAGGCGAGGCCACGCCCCAACACGCCAAATCCCCCGCCCCATCCCTCCAAGTAGGGAAAGGCCACGCCCTCCCTGCCTAGGGCGTGACCACGCCCCCGCGGGTTCTCGCGGACCCGCCCCCTTTTACGGCGAGATAATGAGCCCCGCCCCTCGCGCGGCTGTTTTCGTCGCCTCGTGCCCTCTGCGCACGCAGCGCCGCGCCGCG